AATTTAAATTTTTTAAAATCTTTTTAAAGTTTGATAAAAACTAATTATTCTTATAACTAATCTATGCATATGTTAAATATAAAATTACAATTGATAAACTAAAATTAGTAAAAAATAAATTTCAGTTTTAGATTGAACTTTAATATATATTTTTAATCTTAGTCAAATTGCATATTGATTTAGATATTTTGTGCGATTTAGATTTCATATTATTAAAAAATATATAAACATATTTTTGATATTTTTGTTTTCTTACAAATTTAATCAATTAATAAAAATCAATTTAATCAATTAATAAATATTAATTTAATCATATTATTGAATAAAAGTAATATTTTAATGTTTAGTGTGATGAATAATGTCACACTAAATATGGTGTAACACTATTCATAAAATACTAAAAATTTGGTGTTTTAGAATTCCATTGGAGAAATTTTAGCACCAAATTTGGTGTTTTGGAATTCTATTGGAGATGCCCTAAAAGTATTAAGAAAAATGTAAATATTTTCTAAAAGAAAAAGAAGGAAATGTGAAAATGCCATAAACCCGAAAAAGAAACAAAGAAAAAGAAGAATGTTTTGTGAGATGTCCAAGAAGATGATGTTTGTCACTGACTTGCAGCTTTTTGTCTGCAAGCTGACGACACGACGTCGTATCAACATCTATTTTTCACCTCTTTAATCCTCTCCTTTATTTTTATTTTTCACGTAGAAGAAAGATTTTTATTACATTGATCCCAATATTTATTTTAACTTTCTCCACGCTTTAAAGTGAAATGTTGTTTAGCTCGAATACACGAGGGTGTGTAGTTTATTAGGTTTTAGACTTTTAGTTATTCCACGAATGAAAGAGAAACGACCTAACTTCCAATTTCAATAATGATGCATTTAGAAAGATCCAACAAAAACATTTTAGGTCATATACCAGATGCTTAAGCTTTGGATAGATCAAGACAAAACATAGTTGCTGGTGTTGCTGTTTGTTGGTCGATCAATCCAAATTCATCTTTAGCTGTCTAATTATTGAATTTGTCTTTTTTCTCATAGTTGACATCAATTATAAAACAAAGAAAACGATATTTCAAGTACCCAAGCTATTATTATTAATTACTCTCCTTATTATCAGTTATATCTGATTTACATTTCCAAATTTTGAATAACCTAACATTTTGTCTTACTAATTAGAAAATCTCGAGCATATATTCACTCTACTTTTCTTTAATAACCATATAGATGATCCGACTAATCTATTTATTGAATATATATAACCATCGAATAATTCACTTACTAAACTTTAATAGATCTAAAAATATGATATAATTCGACTGACCAAATAAAATTAAAAATGTTTTTAGTAGAAATCAGGAGAAATGAGTTTACCAATTTTCTCCGCGTAATCTGATTACCGATACATAGCAAATATATAACGTAAATCATCACAGAACACAAAATCTTAATCCTGAAACTCATGTTCGAAGCCCATGCATGCATGCATATCTATCTTGTCTTGTTTGTGAGCGCAGTAGCTATTTTTTGGTTTGTCATATAATATTCTCTATTAACATTTATCCGTACAATAAATTTAATACCAAAATCAGAGTATCTCTAAAACATTTGGTTTGAGTTAAAAAAAAAAAAAGAAATTTCAAAAAATGCCACTTTCCAAGTGCCACTTTACAAAAATGCTACATTTTTGAAATCTTTACAAAAATGCCACTTTTTCAAAATTATTTTTTTCTTTATATTATTTATGTTTGGGTTAATTATGTTCTATTAGGGTTTAGTTTTGAGTGTTTAGGGGGTTTTAGGTGTCAAAATATTTTTTAGGGTTTAGAATTNTAAGATACAGGCTCTATAAATCTATAATTAGT